TGGTAAAAAAAGATTTTTAAAAACATATTGTTATTACAAATTTGCCGCAAATATTGCGGTTGTCGGATATATTTTGCTCAACGTGACCTTAAATATGTTTGCCGTTATTCAATCGATGCAGATCATGCAAGTAGAATCACGTACTTCCGTAATCAATTCTACTTGCGTTGCAATACTTCAGTCCGTTTTTTGTAAGTTAGACTGAACCAGTTTTTTCTAAAGGATAGTTTAAAGAATTATACTTTTCAACTCTTATTGAAGTAATGGTTCACATACGTAACGACAAACCGTTTTGTCCTTCAAGAACAGTCATACTTGTTCTTTTGCTTATAATAATTCATAAAGCAAGACATCAACGTCGCTACTCAGACTGTGGCACCATATTATAACCTACTTGACGTAGAGTTTGAGGACAGTTTATAATCTAATTATTTGAGATTAATATAATCTAATAATTATTTGAAATTACAAAGGACCTTATCTAGTATACGTGACATCTCATCGTCGTTGATTATGACATTTATATAGAATCTGTGTAACGTTTTGCAGTTTCAGTTATCACTCGACGACCCAATACAAATATTCCTATTATTTACTTTTAAATGGTCCTAGATCTTAAACATGGATTTACTTTTATTTTACTTACGTAATTGAGGTTCGGATTATTTCCGGTATCAATGATATATCCGCAGATAAGTAAGCTTCATCACTTGATACTATAGTGCCTTATCTTTATATATAAAAATTAGACCTTATGCAGGCCGATGACGATAATGTGTCAATTTGTTTCTAAACCAAACATGCTAACGGAACATAATAAATGTCGGAAACAAATATGATGTGTTTTTATATAATCGATCGTAGACTTTACGGAACTTATCCTTCGAAAACTGTTTACACCTATAATCGGTGACATGTATACTCAAATGGGTCGATTATAATTTATATCCTTAGAACTATTCATGTTTCAGCGTCACTCAACCAAATGCAAACATTTCAAGAAGTAGATACCAAATTTCAATACAGACTCTCAGGGCACACACAAAGGTATTTTGGTACAGTTCTTCAGGTTTGCCGATGCACTAAATCTCATTTGAGTTATTTAATTATCATTAAGTCTGCTAAGCATTAAATTTGATAGCATTAATAAAGCTAGACCTTGATCTTAACTCCCGCAGTGGATCTCAACATTCTAGCTTGGTAGAAAATAGTTTTCGTTGGGAGCTATTACAGCTGGGACACGGCTTAAACGATTACTTCTATAATAGCTAAGTATCAAATCTTATCTTAGTGGTCACTGTTTGCATAACCCTTTTTTTTTCCATATAAATGTCCGTCAGTGTATTAATTTCCATTTCAGCTGTAACCGTGTATTATACACAAGAAAGAGAAAAAAATGCATCTATGTAACTACCTTTTTCGCCAGTCGACAAATAACGGTTAGTATATAGTTACTAAAGATGCGTCTGATATCCCCTGACAAGTGTATTATATCTCAATATTGTATTTAACACATATGTGATGCTTCTAATTACGTTGCTTTGTGTACCGCTTGACAGCATTATAAGTGCAGATTCAATGTAGCTAGTTTTAACAAAAATTGTTCAGAGTAATATGTGTCTCTAAAATATAGTAAACGTAACAGGTAGAATTTTTAGCTTCTAGAAGGATACATCGGTCTGAAAAATAGTGGGCTGGGACTAAAGTTATTATCCAAAAAACAGGAGATATATATATATATATATATATATATATATATATATATATATATATATATGTATAATCAAGGAATATCACTCAAGAACGGAATTAGAGTCATTGTGGAACTTAAACACGGTAAAAGGCAGGAATACATTGGCCTTCGGGCACGATGTTCCACTATAAATAGTTAATAGATTAGTGAAAGAATTATTAAACCGCCCGTGTGCAGGTTTTTAGTTTATATCGCACTTTGACCTATGTGTTTAAACAGAGTGTACCAAGTGTTTGTCAAGAACGTAATACAATGGAAACACTTTGCGCAATGGAAAACAAACACAGTAAACGCGCGGATAGAAAGAAGCAGTGACGTAGTGTCATATAGACTAGCGTCTGCATTCCGGACATATTGCACAAATCAGTTTGTGAACTCGTGAACCGTACCATGCGAGATAAAGATAAAGAACTGGGCGAAAAGAAATAACTGATATTTCTAGACACCTTAAGCCACTGGTATGTCATCTGAGCGTCATGAAGCAAGGAAAACCCAATGCAATGCGTACCAGCCAAGCATACCTACCACAAAATCGGACAGCATTCGATTCTATTACCTATATTGAATTGAGTAACAAAGAGTTGCTATAGTGATTACTCATAAAATTCAGCGACAGTATACGCGTTCCCGTATATTTTTTTTTGTTGATAAAATCCATTTTTGAAGTCCAGCAATGAGCATCAAAATATTGGACAAAATAGTTACGGTTTTGTTTCGTACAAATACGACTCAGTCAACTGAACTTGAAAATATGAACAAATTATCTTCTGGTTTGCGGCATAATTCTAATCCTAGTCATATTTCACATTTGCTTTTATTCCCTGCATAAAGGAGTTCTTTTTAGAAGTGATCAGCTATCTAGTCCGATAGGAGCCCTATAGATCTTACGCTTTTTATTAGCGTTTATATAAATGTATATGAATTTTAATTAAATATTAAATAACAAAATAGATAAATAGATACATAAGTGAAAGACTATACATGCCGTAGATGGCGAATACGGCCCAGAAAACAGGCTATATCTGCAGCACATAAAATAAAGTGCCCAAATATTGTCCCCTTTCATTATATCGTTTCAAACTCCGATCTCACAATCTAGGAAGCTCGTTTAAGTGAATTGTATAGGAAAAATAAATTTACTGTAGACAGAGGACAGAGATGATATCCGTTACATCTTTTATACGTAATTTGTTTCTTTTTTGACCACTGCAAACAAAATCTAACCTATTGAAGATGGATCGATATCTGATGAGAATACATTTTTCGGTGGGTACATGCAGCTAATATTTTGGACTCTTAATCTTTTAATTATGCCTTTGTTTTCTTTTCTGTTCTCCAGAACAAGAGAGCAAAATAATTAATGTCATAAAAGTTCCAGATATCATCCCTCTAATTTAAACGTGACTTTTGCCGAGGAAAAAATTCTATTATAAAGGTTCTTTTTTTTTAATTTTTCGAGGGATATATACACAAAGGCTATGAAGCAAGGACTCGAAGGAGAAAACTAATATCAAAAACAACACAAGGCGACCACGAACGGAAAGGCACCTAAAATGTTATAGGGGTACCATAAGAATGCACTGTCTTTGCATCATTCGTGCAAATAAACTATTACCATAAGTATGAATAACAATAGTACCATTTACGATCCTTCCACATAAACATTTATTTATCCTTAGGGTGTGTATTTAATGATGAAGTAAAAAGTTACCAATTCTATTCCCTAAATAAGGTATATGCAGGTCCCATAGAGTTGCAAACGAATAGACACTGCTGAATACGTGACGCCTGCCTTACGGCTTTTGATACTGGGGAAGGATAATTATATGTGAAACGTTTAATTATAATTATGTTTGCCTACAATGAAATTATGATGATCCTATAGGAAGTTCCAATGTTCAGTCGAGTATAGTAAAATAAGTATTGTGTGACTCACATGTGTGGGAATTGTTCCGACCACCGAAAATTATTTCTCGTTAGTTAGAAGATAATCTGTAATAATACTAACCATTATGATAGTTGTTTTTAATTCACAGGAACTTTCTTATATCTATAGATGTAAAATACATATGACATTAATACGGTACTAACATAATCTGTTCATCGTGACTGTCAGGAATTTTGCTGGACCCCCCCCCTTCGAATCCGCCCTTATCCATACAATTATCCAGTGACTTGAATTTGTAGAAGAAGCAATTGTAATGTCAATGTTGGCATCTGTCCATCGCACCTCTTATCACGGAAGAGTTTATTGTTACCTTGGCACATTGTGACTCTTTTTGAATGGATATATCCAGGCATAATGTGACAGTGTATATTCTGCATACAGGTCCCCGTAACCAAAACTCATGTAATCTCGTATTTTTACTTAAGTTAATTTAATAAGCGTAAATTCTTTTGTTTCGAGTAGGAGACTTTCCTCTTTGTATTTCGATAGATCTTGGGTAACTTCTACCTTACTGTTAGCAGCCTCTAACGCATTCACATTTCCATATTCTGAAAGAAAGGAACAATGCACAATGCACGGCGTTAGAGCTGAAATAAATTGAGCGATATGATGAAATGTGTTTGCTGTTTGTGACCAGTATGGATCTACCTTTTATAGAGATATATTATTTTCGTTTCATCATGTTGTTGCTCTGGTTTTCTCAATAATATGCCGAACAACTCCGTAGCTTACAAACTTTACCCGGAGTCCTTCCAGACTCTCTCTGCTTCAGCTTTCGCGGAACGTAGTTCCCTGTCTGGTTGTCATAGAATTTATCCCACTTTCATGGTTCCGTTGTCTACCTGATTGAGGGACATCTGCCCAGACAAGCTTGTCGAGAAAAAAAACTATTGCAAAGTACAACACTTCTCTTCGCTTGAATTAGCTGATACGTGACTCCCATTTAGGTGTCTGGAAACAGTGGAGCCTGCCACGAGCTTCCTCTTACACACTCACAAATTTGAAACTTAATGTACCTGGCTAACATCCAAGGCTGTTAACTCTACTGCCGCTTTGACTACTGCTGCTACCGTTGCCGCCTCCGCCGCCTTTCAGGCGCCATGAAATGTGGAGTGCGGCACGCGAAACGCAACCTCTGGCCTACCTCTCCCCCTCGTTAGCTCCACCTTGTTAGAGAGGGGCCTTTTACTGGGCCGCCCATTGCCCTCTCCCCCTTGGAAGCGTTACTTGTACACGTGGAGGTAGCGCCCCAGAAGGCTGTACTCGACAACTAGGCGCATAGATACTTAAAACGTTCAAAGATTTTTTGAATTTTCGGCCGGCATGATCGGGTCTGAACTGATGCAGCTTGTTGTTTATCAGGCCCGTTGTTAAGCCAGCGATAAATAAATAGAATAGTGGACTATTTTAGTTAAGCAAGCAGTGACGAAAGACACATCAATGGACAACAACAGCGCAAGGGTTTTATTCTAGCGTTGCTTCTGCTGCCCCTTAAGGAACTACTGTCGCACGTGTTATGCATGTACTGCCTGTTGGTATCATTAATCAATTACACGATAAAGATTATTTGGATTAGGTGCGTGTGCAATCAAGTAATGTGCAACGGTTAGCGTGTTGTGAATCATTTTTATTGTAGTAAGAAGTGCAAGTGACAAAAGGCAGCATTGCGAAGAGGATAAGAACACATCAATTTAATAATGTGGTGTTCCACGCATCTTTCGGCAGTTCTGCTTCTAGCGCAAAAAGGTTGGTTATTTTGTCGGATGCTGGAGTTTGAGTTGTCTTATGCGAAAACGACTGTTGTCACTTGAAAACGACCGTTCATATAAATATATATTACATAAATTTTGACTTTGGGGTTATAATACACGCTAGCGATTTCTCCTAATAATTCTACGTGGGACCTGCACTAAAGAACTTCTTGAAGCCAGCGTCAGGCTGATTAACAATAGTTTCTTCCCAATGAATTACATTAGAATTGGTGTTTGTAAAAACGACTACCCAAGAAGTGCCTTTGTTTGCTAGGAGGAAAGTGATGACAAAACCTAAGCGATAGACCAAGGAAATTCAAGTTCATGACACCAGAATTAGTTAGTGCCCGAAAATGATAGGCTCGTCACAAGTGCTATATGGCGAGCTCTGGCTCATGGCAGCACTTTGATTGACTAAGCTTCCCAATCTAAGATCCCCCAGATCAAATAGATGAAAAGATGTAAAAAAACGTCTTTGATTCCATTTCATAGTCCTAAAAACAGAGAAACAGCATGCATGCTTTGGCGAAATAAAAACATTTTACTTTTTTCGGTTTTATTCTGTCGGAATACAATAAGGAATGCAGGAAGTTTATATGGACTTTCATTTTTCTCTGTGAATTGACAGGCACGCCTCTATCACTTATAGTTCGAACCACTGCTATAGTATCTAGATGATGGTATTCCTGTGAGCATGCCTCCCTAGCGGTGGAGACACGCACGAGCTATGGATAGTAGTTGTGAGAGTAGATGTACTTGGAGCGCCACTTGAAATGAAAGCCGGAGCTCAAGTTGTAAAAAACTATTTCCAAACATAATACCGTATTAAGAACTAGGCTATCCATTAATCTTAGGTTTAAAAATAATTGTTTTAAAATATAGATACGTGCATCTGTTTTGCTTGTCCGCAACTCGCACGATAAGGTGATAAAAAAAATATTAGAACAACTTTAAAATGATACATCTAAAGTTTACCTGATATGATTCCGGAGCACTGCTTCTAGTAATGGTTTATAGCGATAATGTTTGAAGGACAACGTGTGGTGATGTTAATTATGCACTCAACCCGTAATGAACGTATCCTGTTACATGTCCTGTTATAAATGAACGAGACATCATTAGCTGTCAATCTCTGTGACCCCGCTAAAGGCCATTCGATATAATTAAACTATTTACACATTAATTCGAAGGAACAGTAAAACATTAAGAGCCACATGGCACTGCCACGCAACTAACTAGCCTATAACAACAGAACTAGCGACTACATTGAACTATTCCGGGCGACGCCTAATAAATAATAACAATAGCTCTAAACGGAATATTTTGTTTTCGATAGAATGGCAAGGGGTTCCAAATATAACTTGGGCAATTCACAACGCCGCTTGTGCACTTAGTTCATTTAGCTAACAGACATATATATATATATATATATATAATATATATATATATATACAACTGGTAATGAGAACACATGGCAAAAAACCGGAAGGCATGATTTATGAAGATTAACAGATTTAAACAGAATAGGAAAAATAATAAAAAAAAGGCAAGTTTACAAAACCGATAGATAGACATCAGTCGAACCTAATAGTGCTCAACACAAGTCTCCAACCTTTTTATTTCTTACATTAAAGTCGAATGTAAAAACCGAGAACTAAAAGAGCACCGAAAGCAATATTTAGCGCAAAGTATGGAATATTTGTGGCGAATTTAAAGATTAAATGACTGAAAAGAAATTTATGGGTTTACAGATGAATTACTTCCGTACCAGTAAATTATTACAGGATAGTTTCTTTATACTCCCCGAAGCTAAAGTGAGCAACACAAAATGTACGGCATTTGTAGCTATGAGACGTACATATAACACATTACTTTGTGATAAGTTACCGTCTGAAAGGGTACCGAATGAACGAAGCGTGCTTCAATTTCGACAAATAAATGCGCAGTAATGGTTACAGTTTATAAGAGATTTAATAAAATGCTTAATGTAGTAGTACTCGTGTTCAGTAATACGTATCAGAAGTGGTAAAAAAATATTTACATGATGGGTTTAGAATGCATGATTGAGACAAAATACGTGCGGAATTCAGGCCATATATCTAACTGTATGCAAACTATTATGTTCTGATGGAGTAAAGGACTAATCACCTACAGCAGATGCTCAATATTTAAAAACATCAAAACTTGTGTGGCGATAGTTTTATAAGAATAAATGTAAAGCAGTGAGATTCTCAGGAAACATTAGAAGACAAAAAGGCCAACAAGGCAAACATTCGAGCTATAATGGAATACAGATAGAGATAGTTAATAACACATTCAGATTAAAAACAAAAATAACGAAGGAAAAGACACACAAAGGTAAAAGCATAAAATTGAAGCATTGTAATTCATTGCAATATTATTTTAGGAAAACTGTTCTTATGATGCTAAAACTTAATGCAATTGTGACGATTCATGGAAATAGTTGTCAAATTAGATGCAATACAGAAAGCAGCGATACGACAAGTCATGCAATGCGAATCGATGTGCCGCTTTGTACTTAGAAATGTGGAATATCGAGTTTCTTGGTTTTAAAAATATAGGTAAACAATAGCACAGAAAGCGAGAGTCAAGGTTTTTGAATCAGTAAAAACATAATAACTTAACAGCGAAAATTATGGGGATAAAAGCGGCCGAGATTATAAGAAAAAGTGTGTTAAAAGGAAAGAATAATGGAAAACACTGATAAATTTTTTATGACCAATCGTTAGCTAGCAGTATCTTGTAGCTTCTGGCTTTTGAAACTCTTAAAACAGACACTGCTACAGCAATCATACACACGAAGCTACACAAGTTCATCTTTTCTGTGTAATCACATTGTGAGGAACCAGAAAAATTGATTGGACAACGAAGAGAGACATTAGTAGAATGTAATGAACGAAAATATATAAAACCAAGCAAGGATATTAGCAACAGTCAGTGAATGCCAGTCATTTTATATAAATCATGTAAAAACCGTATATAGTAATGTGCAATAATAGGCATACATACACAAAGGATACCCCTTTGATGCAAACCGGACGAAATCATACTCCCAAAAATGTTTTCCATAGCTGACTTTTAAGCCACCCTTCAGGGCTTTGCTGGTGTAGGGAACTCAATACGTAGAGAATCAACAAAAGAAAAATGATTACTGTATTTATTGCTTTCCTTTAGTTGCTCGAATTTTTACTGAACGGTAAACGTGTACCGATGTTTAGATTCAAAGTTAGACTACCGCTATATCTTTTCGGTCAGTAGACATCTACGTTATTAATGTCATGGATACCCAGCGAAAATAATTCTTCCTAACCTTGCTGAATTCCAATATAGTGTCAAACCTAGAGTGTTAAAGAGCCATATTTGAAGATTGATCAGTTTGACAAGATAACCTGCAAAGTAGGTTTTCAAATCTTATTTGGCCCATGGCCCACGAACTCATTTCAATTGTATTATGTGACCCTCTTTTAAGAAAAGGGCTTTCGTATCATACTCTGAGCCTATGCTCTGAAACAGAAATCTGAGACCGTTCACTTGCACATCGTCACTAAATCTTAGCTGGCAAATTCAGGTGAGTTATTGGAAATTGGGGTGGTTTAAACGAATAATAGTTGCATGTTGTAGCTACACAGACGGTTTATATGAAAATTGCGAACCCACTATACGCGGTATCCAACTCAAAAGACTTTGCTGGGATGCCAATTACCCAGACCACTGACGACCAAGATACCCGAGAAACCCGTTCAGTGGCATAACCTGCAAACGAAGTTGTAGACAGGATCGGGTTGGGAGCAGTGCTCGCTCGGAAGGTTGCAAGCGGGTTGTCGCATTCGATGGCCACGCTTTATACACCGAGTGTTTGGTGGCAATATAAGCCATTGAAAAGTCTCGGCTGTAATCGTACGGTTGTCACTTAAAGGGCGTCACCGACAGTATTGTACTGAAGTATCTGACTACCAAATCACAACCCAAAACAGCATTGTTTGTCGCAGCATACCATACAGTAGACATTAAGGAGCGGCTTATACAAGGTACGGAATGAACAGAAAAAATATTTTTGCCTGGGTACGATTGTCGCTAGCTTGCAAGAAGGAACTCACGTACAAGCACGCGCATTCAAGGGTGGCTTAGGGTACAGATCGCCAAGAAGGCGTCGCTGCCCTACGTTGCCTTGCCTCAAGCGGACAACACCATCACTTTGTGTCACTCGAATGGAATGGCTAGCTGCGTTGCCTTCCAGAAGACGTCGCAAAGGTTAAATCTTGTTTTTCGAAAGCAGGCTGAAGTCATAGTTCTAGGAAGGTAGTGTCTTGGTATACTGCGGAGTCGAAACCCGGAAAGGCGCGACACACCACACGCGGCGCCAGTACTGGGATGTTCGTCCGGATCTCTAACGGGCAGAAGGGTTTTTACGCCCTGGTGATTTATCAAATTATTGCATGCGTTTCGTGCGTCCAAGGCTGTGGTTCGCGCGCTCGAAGTCGTGCAGTACTTTTTTGCGGATTTTGGGACCTTCGTGACAGACAACACTTGCTTCACATTGCCAGAGGTAACAGACAACCTCACGTAAAATCACATTGGACACATCAGGAGGGTTGCCGGGAACCCTGGGAGAACTGTTTTAGCCAAGAGAGTGATACGGGTGGTCACTGTTAGGCTTGGTTCTTTGGTGGCTCTTCTTCCTCTTTAGATGGACTTGTTTTCAGGAGCTGCTGCCCCGGGTTACATTTTACCTTAATACGACGATAAACGAGAGCTTGGAGAAAAAGCCGTTCGAATTACTTTTTGATTACCAGGCTGTGCTATTCGGGAAGCCTTCAGGGAGCAGGAACACTAGGAGACGTGATGCCGTAAAGCGGCGTCGGCGCACACATTAACAACTTTGGAATCCACAACGGCAGATGGAAACTCGGTTTGAGCGGGGAAATCCCGCACTACAGACGTTCCAACACGACGCAAAGGTACTGGTAAGGGTCGAACGGCCGACACTAAGACTGCTCAAGAAACTGCAGCCGTGCTACTAAGGACTCTTCGTTGTCATGGCAGAGTGGCCTCGCATAGTTACCGGGTTGCTACTCTCCCAGGCCGACAGCTGAAAGTGAACGCAAGAAATGTACGGTTGTGCGCTGTCAAACATATCTTAGTATCCTAAATGTGAAGAGGAGCGCAATGGATGTAAATTATAATGTAATTTTTAGTTCAATGAGACTAGGACTATATAAAGGCTGCCAGATATCAAACTATCATAGGTCGGTGGCAGTATTGTAATCCGTAACAATATAAATGATATTATGATTTTATGTACCTATGCTAAGCTATAGCGTAAATAGCCTTTACATAACGTTGAAAATATATTTGAAAACAACACATGAATCCATAAATCAATATATTAGGTATTATTAAAGAGATAAATTTGTTTAGTATGTGTTAGCGCTATGACTAGTCCCGTTTCATTTATGTAATTTTGTAGATTGTGCACTCCAAGGGGCTTCGTTTTGTGTAGTTAACGATTTGGACGGCTCTAAACCTTTTCTGGTACGAAAGCAGAACCTTTAATCCCGAAGCAATTATATCGAGCGGCTACTAATAATGGCTACACTAGATATGTCTACTTACGTTGCGGGTCTCTCTTCATCAATAGTATTTACCATGCACAAGAAATTTAACGCAATGCTTTAGACTAACATGTGTGCATGGCGTAACAGAAGAATATATATATTGAAAGTAGTATATAGTATCAAATCAACGGCAAATGAAACAATCATGACACTTCTTTTTCTTGTATCGTCAGGATTTTAGTTTTTTGCCGGTATACTAGACTAATGTAAAATCTATCAAATCTTTTAGCAAAATCGTCGGAATTTCATCAAGGGCGTAGCTATGCTTCGATTCATATCTTTATCTATTCACAAAAATTCAAAAAATAATTACACCTTTTTTATTTTTATTTCGAAAAACCATAGTTTACCTCATTTATTTTGAAAACGATAAATTATAAGTAAATAGCTCAATGTAAATATCATTACACTGCTTATTATGAAGTACATATTTCAAATTTCACAGTTTTATACTGGTACCGTTCTGCGATCTTTTTTTGTTTGCGAGGTGCACTTGTATTTTTCAGAGCTTAAAACTTTTTATTGGAATACGGCTATTCAGTTTTTTAGTAGGCAACTTGCAACAACTATAGAAAAGGAGCGCTTTTCAAATATACTTTTCACCTTTGAACCACATCGTTAAAGACAGCTCGCCTTTTAAATTCTGTGTTCAGTGAAGGATCTATGAGTGAAGGCAACGTCAGCCGCTAGTTTAAAAAACTTTGGCCTGGTGCAAAGGTTGTCCGATTCATTTTCACGAATCCTGGTTCGATGAAGTTCCCAGTATTTTTATTATTTGGAGATCGTGAACAAACTCTGCAATACGCAAACTAATAAATAATGTTAAACCACTTCTATTGTATGATCGCGATCTCGATGGTGCAAAAAGTGCAAGGGTTACATTTCAAGATTTCCTGCCATCCATCATGTTCAGCAGGTACTTATTACTATGGTTATGATCATAAAAACTTACCCTTAATATACATATTCAAGTCTCGATATGATGTCGAAATTGCCTCTCGATACAGGTTCCTATACCCCAGAAATCTAGAGAACTTAAGAAATAATTAACTTATCATTCGAGTAGCAAAAGGTCATAGATGATGCATTTTTCGAGTAAAAATAAAGGAACTAAGCTATTGAAAACAACTCGAAAAGTAAGACCTTACTATTCAGCATTTATGAAACAATCTAATATTTATATTATTAAGAACAGTGCTGAGATACCCTATATGTGAGCTTATCACAATAAATATTACCACTTCTCAGTTTAGGAATATTACACAGACTGAGTAGGTGTCGCTATCACACATTTCGAGCTCCTGCTTACTGTACACACATCCTGTAAGAAGTATCTGTCGTTACTCGACCATAATAAAAACTTTTTTCACATACGATTAGAGAATATTACATTAGTCATCTGTAATTCTTTAATGGTAAAATGCCAATACGTGCTTTTAACGATACTGCGATTCATTTTACGCGATTTTAGCACCGGCTCGCAGAATCTTATTTTCGTTATTGTACTAGGGAAAGATACCATAAATAGACGCAATATTCTTACCTGTAAATTGTTGTTATCTGTAACGGACATTACCCCTACTTATTTGATAAAATCCTATGAGGTAAAATAATACAACTGCATTTTTTGGAGAAGATTATCTTGTTGTGATCGGATTCTATATAGTACAAGTGTACATAACGGTAAAAAATGCAACTTAAAAACATTACAGCAAATGATTCTAAGATTTAGTTTTAAGGGCAGATTTAACGACGGTCTATATCTTGTTGAACATTAACGCGGCAGAAAACCGAGTTTTTATATATTTTACAAAATAAATCACTTTTCATTTTTTCGCCGCAATTTTTAGTTCCGTGTGTGTAAAAGATGCGTAGTGGTTATTGTAACATAGCTCAATTACTGTACAGGCATCATTATTTAACGTTTCATATATGCACATAATGCTGAATCGAATTCTTCAAGTGAGACAAACCCGACCAAACGACGGAAGCGCTTCATTTCGCTTGACTTATAAAAACAACTTCACAGACTACCGATGGAAGGCTTGCAATCATAACCTAAACAAGCAGGAATATTATACAATTTACTAACGGTAATTTCGCTTGAGCACGATACCTTAGCTATTTTAGGACCTACTATAATGCAAGACCGAGCCCTTCTACTTTTCTTTTATTTTGCTATCAGTATTTTTTTTTAAATAATATGTATCTTTTTTTCTTTCTAATTCCTAATATTATATGCAAAATATGTAAGAAATGCATCATTAATGTTAGACTTCTAAATTTGCAGGTTAGTATCAGCAATGGAGCAAGAGAACGAAGCTGATCGAAGCCCGAGTCGCTATGCCGAGAAAGAGGGCGTAATTAGGTACTACAAATAGCATGAAGAGATCCTTCCCTTTAAAGATAAAAATGTCGCTGGACTATAGAAGCAACTACTCAGCAATGGGATACAAAAATGTTATGCAAGCATAGAGCTAGGTGTCAGAGGCGGCAACAGAAGCAGAAACGGGGCAGTGTTGGCAGGAGGCTTTCGTAGATAATGCCGAGTAGTAAGTAGCTGCTAAGGCAACAACTGAACCTGGTGCAGGCATTGCAGAAACGCTTCCGGGAACTAGGAGTGAGCACCTCCGACAAGGCCTTACAGGATCTAGCGAGTAATGAATGACACATTTTTTGCTTCGGCGCAATGAATAATACATATACATGATATATAGACAGTTATTTGCGCCTCCACATCGCTTGGCGTCAGCCCCCCAAAGAAGCGTCACTATATCCGCATCATACATAAGACAGGAACAGAGAGAAAATGCTCTGTCGGCACCTGCTCTTGGCGAGAGCTAGGAAAATATGGAAAAACAACAACCAATGATAAGGAGCGTGTAAATGGCTGGGTATATCCGTAGTCCGATGCGTACTCGATCATTTTCATCTATGAGGAATCACTCTCTCGGAAGGTGGGCGCGGTGAGGTTGCGCTTAGTAATTGCATTTTTTAATATTATTCCTGATAGAACGAGCCTGAGCTATGCAACAATCATATATATAAAAGATTGTTTACCTACCCTATTTAGCGAAATGCTCTAGTTAAGAATTAATAAGAACGACATACTATGTGGAAATGAAATCTAAAATTATTTTAGTTATAGATGAATAGGATATAAATAACGCTACCCGACGATCAGGCATAAAACAGTTCGATTGTGTACGATACAGCGTTTCACGCTAAAATCTAAAATGAGAATCAAATGATACTTTAAATCGTATTTCTAAGAAACCTGATTTTTTTTTTCAATTTTAGGAAATACGACAAAAGTGAGTACTGAACATCTTTGTTGTAAGTAAAGCATTGAAAAAAGACATTGTAAGCTGTCTCCTGTCTCTGTAGGTAGGTCTTCTGAATACATAAAACTTTAACTCCACTTCCAGTAATCCAAAAAAAAAAACAAATATTTTTTGCAATGGCAATACTTCCAGTCAGAAATAGCAGTAGGAGATCGTTCAATACTGTGGCTAATAGCAACGCTAGTGTCAAAAGGTAGGTTGTTCAGAAGAATGTAAGCGGTAGGAAAGGATTAAGCTAATCATTTGCAGCTGTTGTCTACAGGGTCAGAAGTAACTAGCAAATATCCCAGTTCAGTGAATTTCAGTGGCCTCCTATAGTGTAACGGTTAAAGTGTGATGCTAAAATATATGCACGTTATAGTTCGTAAGTATAAAATTTTATTTTTTATCTAATATTTTTTATTTTTTTATTTACAATTTTTACATTTGCTTTGTTTTTCTTGAAGAGGTTGAGACCTGCGAAAAGTATAGGAACGCAGTCTGTGGACAAGCTTTAGACTTATTACTGGTAATGTTATATATTTCTAGTATACAATCGTTTCCAAAATCTAGAAATTTCTTTGGACTTTTTCTATACAAAAAATACCGAAATTTGAACCATATCGTTCCATAAACTTCTCCTTAAGTCAAAATGCTTTGATGCTTAGTCCAATCATTTTTTAACAGTCTTTAGCTATAATTATTTTTCATCCAGCTTTTCTTTGAAACAATTAAAGTGTTTCTCAGACTACTGTTGCGTTTGGTCAAATTCAGGTCCTTCGGCACAATCCATGCTGCGAGCCTCCGAATAAGCTTTCAGAATGATCCGACACGTCTAAGCTTTCTGCGAGCTTCCTAAGGGTAATTCGACGCTTCTCCAGGACAAGGTGTTATACCTTTCCACGTTTTCATTTGAAATGGCTGTGACAGGTCGCCTAACATTAAAGTTGTTTTTACCTCTCTCTCTCGTCCGTTGCCGCCAATATCGCCTGTACATTCCATGAGTCTTGTGCAGCATTCGCACCACTGATGAACACTTGCTTTCACTCATAGCACAGGTCACGATGCACGCTGTTTAGTATCATATTTTCGTTTTCAGAAAACGAGGCCCGATTCCGTTTAGCCGGCCAAAGCCCAGCGTCCCTTTAATCTTATAGACCTCACTGAACAGTTTTCTCCGAATTCTCATTCGGTACAAATTTATAAACATCACATACAAACCAAGTCGTTTTTAAGCAATTAATCGTGTGACAAAATTACCCTTCTTAAAATTAGTGAGTGCCTCATCACAACTATTTTTAAATGTGTTAATTATTGAGCTTATTTACGACTCGAACTGAATTTGACTGTAGACAGGTGATTTAAAATTTGCGAAATCCTTACTACAAAAATAAACCCTCGTTTTCAATTTGTCTACTCACTTTATATCACTATTTTTTGGTAGATACGACAAACAATTGGGAAGCAACGGGATTAACCTGGACATGATGAAATCTCAGCTTTCTACGACTAGACGAATGCAGTCGTATGGACTTTTAAAAAAACAATATTTGTTTTACGGTCAGTGAAAGTTTCATTGGAAAAATAAAAGTAAAAAAGCAAAGCTTCTAGGGCCCACCTGTATGAGCCCTCAAGGGAATACACAGTTCCGATAAGAATTGTGTTGTACGAATTAAGCGACAAGACTCAAATCTTTTCTTTTATGTCATGATCTTTAGCCAACTATTGTGTAGTCAAGCCATTTGCAACTGACTAAAATAATCGCACACACCCATACATTTCGTAGTACCTATTATTTGCATACGTGAATTATCGGAATATCAGAATAATCAACGTGCAGAGGTATCCTGGAAAATACGAAGCCTACATACGGCCCATACCTAATGCAGCCGCATGTGAACATGTTTTTGGAACACCACCGAGTAAACAATCAGAATTACATTAAACGGTTTCATCTGCTTACAAGAGTCAATATTTTATTTACTTGGTTTATTAATATATTTCATATATTAAGTAATGGGCAAAATCATCCTCAGTAATTAATAACTTAAATATATTTTCGTTTATAGCTTTAAATATGACTCAGTTAATTAGAAGTGCAGTAACGAAGGCCATACAGTAATTATCAGCGGCGAGGATATCGTCCACCATCTTGATGTTAACTCTAAGAACTTTTATCTTTATAAATCTTTTTCTGCCTACTTTAATAGCGAATCTGCCTGCTATTAACAGCAAATTAGTCATAGACCGTTTAGTTTCGTGGGATGGGAAGTGTGCAAGTCGCACCAATTATTATAGCAGTGTTTTTCAAAAGCCTATCAAGTGTCTGGCATGCTATCGAAAAAAAGTTAAGGCGCAGTAGTCACTGCACAGTGCCTCTCTGCTTCGAATTCCCTGTATATACAGAAAAGATTTTACTAACGTAAGGGTAACCAATTACTGTTGTAATTCGTCTTATATATTGTATTACACTAAAATTATGATCGCCTATTTTGTTGATAGGACTTTAAAATGCTTTTAAATGAGTTTTATTTAGGCGGAGTAATTCGAATGCACAGGTCATACTCTAAGGAAAAGACAAAACGGCTCAATATATTATGTTCATCTTCGTTAGTCTAGCAAGACACGCTCTCTAATTTACGAGAATAAATAAAAGTTCAATAACGAATGGTAAGAGACTAAGTCGGTGAATTCAGTACAGGACTGCTAACTTTTATTTGAACGGCTTCCAGCTGTAGATGGAATGTTTATATTATATTTAATCGGTATATTTTCCCGAAAAATAAATGATTCAGGAGTGTGGATTACAAATTATTAACAATATTCTAGAAAAATTGATAAAAAATAGAAGCCTTACTAGTTTGCGGCATGTCTTATATAGCACAAGGGACACACTTTAAATTGTCATGGTCCTTGCCTTCCTCAAAAAAAAATTGCTAGGAATGTTTATTGTTGGTAATCTCTTGAAGACATTATGTGCTACCTGACTGTGAGAAACGAATATAAAAATGTACTGGAAGGCATAAAAATGTGGGATGCAACCAGTAACAATGCATATGGATTCCTGACATCCTTTAATAAATAAGAGCAAACACATCCATTTCTCAAATGTTTGTCGCCAAGGATGAGAGATTGATCGTTTACTTTCCTGAGCGGGAACGGCAGGTTTCCTCACCACGGAGCCTGCATCTATGGAGATTCTGGTTTGCACCCAATGGGACCGTAAAGCGCAGTTGTGCTACAAGCTTCTTCCTCCTAGACTAACATTTTCTACGGTACGGAAGTCATGATAAGTTGAGCAACTCATAAGAGTCGCCATAAAATTTGCCTGAAACTTTACACCAGAGGCGTTAGTGGCTTTGGTCGCAAGTATTTCGCACATACATTTAATTAAAATGCCAAAAAGTATTGAATTCTCTTTGTAACGAATCTTTTCGTCATCAACAATAGTGCAAAAAAACAGCAGCATTATTGACACCTGTTTGCTATGTCGGACACTTTGACACAGCGATTTCTTTAAATTATTTACTGGAAGTTTGCACGCATATCTCGGATAAACTCGTGTAGCAGCGAAGCCATACAGACTTAATCTATTGTAGTTTTTATCGGTAACATGTGTCTTACATTAGCCATAACAGGCACAAATATCTAAAAATTTGAGAACTACTACACTCCAACGCCATACGCAAAGTCGCTTCTATGATATCTAAACCATTTTATTGTATGTGTTGTAAACCTTACAAAAAGGTATGGCACTGGATTATTTTAAGTTACTATACTAACTTAAAATACTCCGGTAATTTTTGAATATTTTAAAAATTCTGAACATTTGCTGAACAAATCGTTTTACAACACCAACTTTATTAGATTAGTATTACGTCACATAGGAGAAGAAAATTGCAGTTTGAAAAAGCTACGCCACCACAAAAAAACTCACGCTCAACTCAGAAAACGAAAATCCACCAAAAAGCCCCCAGCCTACAAAAAAAAAACCTCAAAAGGGACCATTCTACAAAGACGGTTCCTAGAGCGTCAAACAGGCATCCAACTTTAGTGCATATATATATTGTAAAAATGTAATTAGTGGATACCAATACTATTGCAACTATTGGGCTAATGTAAACAGGTCACTATAGTAGTCTGGTCATTAAGACGGCGACATTATCATTAATGTAGCCGAAATCACAACTCAGCAGAAATCATAGAAGGGGTAATCATATAAAGCCAACACAAAGGTCGACATGCGAGAAGTGGTTGGCTCCACTATCACAGGGATGCTCAGGTGCTAGGTAGGAAATAATTTAGGCTGGTGTAAGTCTTGCCAAAAGGCTCAAATTGAAACGGAAGACCCACGCATGCGTTGGAACGGAGGATGGCATTGTCTCGCCACCATCTTGTGCAGCATTGTATAAATTGCTGTTGGTTCGAAAGAAGATTTACCTCAGTGGGTTTCATTGCAACTTAGAAAAGTGGGTATCACTCTCAACGTCAGTTGTCAAAGACTGGAACACGAAACTACAAGTACGACTAAGCAGCCTTTTGAAAGAAACAATCGAAGATCTCGGCTATCACTTATGTAGGACCACCAGCGGTGAAACGAACACAGCCCCCCGAGATCGATACTCTAACGCACGAAAAAACCTTCACGCTTAAAGAACTTTTCTCTCAACACAAGGTTTTTAAGTGAGACACCTATAAATTAATGGTTTGTCTTCGGTCGGACTACGTCTGGTTACTACGAACGAATTGGTAAACGTAGCACACAGAGCAAATAAATACATGAGTTCAACGGCGCCGACGCAATGGCGGTAAAAATCCTATCTATGCAGTCTCCAGAAATAATTGCAAACATCGCAAGAAAATCTCACAAAGGTAGGCTGCCATATGAGTGGAAAAAACGAAGGTGGTACTAATACCAAAGGAAAAAGGAGGATATGGGCTTATCTGCCTAATTAACACCATTGCCAAGAACCCACGCAATCTGAATAACT